GTTATTGTGGTAGATATGGAATTATGAATTATAATTGTGATGATTGGATTTAAATTTATGCATCTGAACATGATATAAGAATTATGGGGAGATTTCGTAATGGTATAATATGAGTTGAGGAATGTGAGCATGGTATGAGTCTCGTGGAGAGATTCTGTAATGCCATGGTATGTGTGTATAAGGAATGTGAGCATGGTATGAGTCTCGTGGAGAGATTCTGTAATGCCATGGTATGTGTGTATAAGGAATGTGAGCATGGTATGAGTCTCGTGGAGAGATTCTGTAATGCCATGGTATGTATGTATATGTTGATGTTGATGGTCATGAAGTTGGAGGTTATCCTGATACTTTAATAATCATCCAGTCTCAAGTAGAGAATGATGAATTATGTGGTGAGAGGGGCAGGAGGTCCTGGTCTATGTGCCGGTTTTGGACATAGTGAGGGGACTAAGAATGACATCACAAGTGCAAAACCTCCCGTTGTATCGCTCATCAACATATCGTTGGGATAAGTGTCTATTGGGTATTGTGGTGTTTATTGGGTATTATGGGACGAGTGTCTAATAGGAATTGTGGTATGATGGTATGAGGGTGTCTGACATAATTATTGTATGATGTTTGTATCGAAGTAATTATGCATGTTTTATAAATGATTTGTTGCATGTTAGCTCACCCTACTTGTTTGTGTTTATGTTTGGGTATGTGCGATGATCGTATAATTCGTTATAGGGGAGCAGATGAAGGAATGTCGTCTGACTCAATGCCAAGGAAGGGAGAGATAGAAGAACCCAAGTTATAATTAGGATTTTTTTTTATCTGAGCTTAAAACATGTAAAATTCATATATTAATTATGAATTTTTTTAGTGCGAGATTACGGGATGTTACCGTACATGTAATGTTAATATAAATAAATTATGAAGTATTCAGTGTGAGATTTTGGGGATGTTACATTAATGGTATCAGAGCGGTTCGTCCTTAAGACGACCTAAGAGTTAGGGATTTATCCTACGAACTCATATTATGAATCATAATGACACTAATTCTCTGTGTGAACAGAGAAAATGACTTGCACACAACCCAACGGTGAAACCTCTAATATGCCTAGCTTGGCAAGAGCTTTGGAGGCTATCGCATCTACCCTTCAACAATAGGGCGCTGCTTTAGTGCAGCAGCACGAAACGGCTCTACAACAATTAGAAGCGGCTAGGCTTAGTTCTGAAGCCAGTCAAAGACAACATGTGGAAGCCTTAAGGCAACTATCTGAAAATGGCACGTCTGTAGAAGCTCAAAGGATTCAGGAATAAACCTTAGAAAACTTTCTACAACACCGTCCACCTACTTTTAATGGGAGAACAACTCCGGATGAGGCTGATCTATGGATAAGGAACATGGAAAAGATTTTTTATGCGAAAAATTGCTCATCAGAAACTAGGTTGGCATATTCCGAGTATCAGCTGTTCGGAGAGGCAATACACTGGTGGGACAACATGAAGCTAGTATTACAGGAAGGTAGTGAGATTATTTCCTGGGAAGTTTTTAAGAATAAGTTTTACGCTGAGTACTTTCCGGACAGTGTAAGACATGCAAAAGAGGTGGAATTCTTGTAGCTCGTGCAAGGTGACAAGTCGATGGCTGAGTATGCAGACAAGTTCAAACAGTTGGGACGTTTCTACACCCAACCATCAAATGAAGAATGGAGGTGTAGAAAATTTAAAAATGGATTGAGAGCAGATATACAACTAGCCGTGAACCCTTTAGCTATTAAAGAGTTTTCTGCTTTAGTTGAACATGCCAAAGTTGCGGAAAGGTTAAGGAGGGAGATGGAAGTTCAGCAGAAGTTACAAAGGGTGGGAGGACCATCTGGGTCACTAGTTGGACAGCATGTAAGGAATCGACCTTATGATAGACCACAACCTCATAGGAATTCTCATCAGCAACGACATCAATAGAGAATAATCCGATGTTTCGTTTGCAGAGGACCTCATCTGAAGAGCGTCTGTCCACAAGTTAATCTGCGCAACAAATGTTTTCTTTGCGGAGCAGAAGGACATTTTGCTAAAGATTGTCCCTCTAACAGAAGAGGAACAACTCAACCTCAACGACCGCCTCAACAGGGAAGGACTGACAATAGACCACAAGCGACTGGAAGAATCTATGCCTTAACGGGAGCAGAAGTTGCCAAATCAGGTACTCTTATCATTGAATGTTGTAATATAGCTGGTAGAGACTTGAATGTGTTGTTTGATTCTGGAGCGACACACTCCTTTTTGTCTGAAACTCTTATTCAAGAGTTGAACCTACCCGTAAAAGAGCTGCAGGATGATCTTATAGTATCTACACTGGCCTCTAAATTGATAAAATCATCAAGGATGTGTCCTCAATGTTCAATCATTGTAGAAGGACATAGGTTCAAAGTACATCTTATATCTTTACCTCTACAAGGTTTAAATGTAATCTTAGGAATGGATTGGTTATCTTCCAATCGTATCCTTATAGACTGTAACAAGAAGGAGTTGATTTTCCCTAATCCTGAAGAAGCTACAGATGGAGTATGAAGTAGATTTCATTAGACGTAGTAGTTTGACTATATCTAATGACTTTCTAATTTTAATGAAGGAGAAACAATTGGTGGACCCTAACCTGAAAGAAATAGCAGAATTGATCAAAACAGAATCAACTAAAGACTTTAGGTTAGGACCTGATGGTGTATTAAAATTTAGAAGTAGGGTGTGTATACCAGACAATGCAGAGATAAAAAGATTAATCCTTGAAGAAGGACACAAGAGTCGTTTTAGCATGCATCCCGGCATGACTAAAATATATCAAGATCTTAAGGAGTCCTTTTGGTGGCCTGGAATGAAGAAGGAAGTAGCGTAGTTTGTAGCAGCTTGTTTGACGTGTCAAAAGGCAAAAGTGGAACACCAAAGGCTTGGAGGAATGCTACAACAATCAGACATACCAGAGTGGAAATGGGATAGCATTGTTATGGATTTTGTCACCCATTTACGACAAACAATGAGGGGTAATGATGCCATCTGGGTCATCATTGATCGATTGACAAAAAGTGCTCACTTCTTGGCAATAAATCTGAGAATGTCATGATTAAGCTGACACAATTGTACATAAAAGAAATAGTGAGATTGCACGGTATACCTTCTAGCATTGTGTCAGACAGAGACCCAAGATTTACTTCTAGATTCTGAACAACCCTACAGGAAGCTATGGGCAGCAAATTACGAATGACTTACAGCATATCATCCCCAAACTGATGGACAATCATAAAGGACTAACTCCAGTCATTAGAAGATCTGTTGAGAACTTGTGTATTAGATCATCTCGATAGTTGGGATGAAATACTTCCTCTTGTGGAATTTACCTATAACAACAGTTTCCAAACAAGCATAGGTATGACACCTTATGAGGATCTGTATGGCAGACGATGTCAAACCCCGTTGTGCTGGTATAAGGATGGTGAATCCGTTTTAATAGGACCTGAGCTACTACAACAAACCACCAACAAAGTAAAATTGATACGGGAAAGAATGAAGGCTTCTCAGAATAGACAAAAATCGTATGCAGATCAAAGGAGGAGACCGTTAGAGTTTGCGGCTGGGAATCATGTTTTCCTACGAGTAACTTCCACCACGGGTGTTGGAAGAGCCCTTCGCTCGAGGAAACTTTCTCCTAAATTCATTGGTCCATACCAAATTTTGAGACGTATTGGGTCAGTCGCTTACGAGGTTGCGCTACCCCCTAAGTTGGTCAATCTCCATTCAGTTTTTCATGTCTCCCAACTAAGAAAGTATGTACCTGACCCTTCTCACATTATAGAAATAGAGGAGATTCAAATCCGAGAGGACCTCTCAGTAGAAGTACAACCTGTTTGTATAGAAGACTCTAAAACAAAGGAACTTAGAGGAAAAACTGTCAATTTAGTCAGGGTAGTTTGGGATAAGAGAACAGGTGACTCTACATGGGAGTTAAAAGAAGAAATGAAACAATTATACCCTCAACTATTTTCTTGATGTATAGAATTTTCGAGGTCGAAAATTTTTGTTGTTGGGGAGAATGTAAGACCCATGAAAAATATATACAATTTTATTACTAGTAAAAATATTTCTTGTGAATGGAAAATAAAATAAGTTTATAAAATGTGGAAAGATTAATAAGAAATTTTGGTAGCTTAATTGGTAGAAAATTTTGGTGTTAGGTTCAAACTTTTTTATACCATTTTTTTTAAAAAAAAAGAAAGAAAGAAAAAAAAAAAAAAAATATATATATATATATATATATATATATATATAAGTAAATTAATTTAAAATGTTCATAATGGAAGAAAGCATTCATATTTGAAGTCATTATTAAGGAATGCATTATGTAAGTGGTGAATCCATTATGTAGTGGTGAATCCATTATGTAAGTGGTAAATCCTTATGTAAGTGGTGAAATTAAAATAATAATAATATAAAAAAATGATGAATAGTAAAAATTTTGGACTATAATAGCAAGCATGGGGAAGGCTTTAAACTTGCACCAAAAATTTTGAGAGAAGAGAGTTGGAGGAAATTCTAGTTGCAAAGGGGAAATTCTAGAAGTTTTCGGGGAACACATTCTAGCACGAGATTAAGTCTGGAATCGAGGTAGGGGACTATCCTTCTTATATATGATTTTTATACATGTTATGATCATCATGAATATGAGTTATGAACATATTAAAATTTTGGTAATGGTAGTTACTATTCACTTGTATAAATTTAGTTTTCATGATTATAATTTTCTTATTTTCGATTATGTGGTAAACCTTCCTTTTAATTTTTTTACCATTGGATTTAGCTAATGTTTAATATATAAATCCTAAGACCTATTTCTTCACTTTGACCGTTCGGATCATCTAATTAGAAGTCCGTACTTGGAGAAATAAATCCTGGATGTTTGAGTAAATTAATTACCCCTGTAGTTCTGTTACTGAGTTCTCTCGGTAAAATATAGATTATGAGCTATTTGACCGTTAGATCAACCTGCAAATTTGATATATGATTCTTAGGATATAGTACTACACTTTGACCGATCAGTCTTGTAAGTGGAAGTCTATGTTTGAGAAAGAAATTTTGACAGTTTGAAAAATCTGATGAACACTATATTTCTATTCTTAAGTTATCATGGTAAAAACTTCATATATATTTTATTTACCGTTAGATTGAGCCCAAGCTTTAGTATGTAGTTCATAAGACATATTAAATCATCTTGATCGTTCCGATTTGTAATTATATGTCTGTGCTTAGAGGAATTGGTTCCGCATTTTGAGTATAACCGAAAACCACTTAAAATTTTGTCCCTGAGTTACCTCGGTAAAACCTCAATATCTATCTAGTTAACCATTAGATCAACCTGAAATTTTAATATGTAGTTTATAACACATAGTTAATTACTTTGACCGTTCAGATTTGAAATTGGAGTTATAGATTGAGAAATATTAATTATGTATCTTTCAGGGATCTTAATATTACTTAATTTCTATTTTTGGACCATTTATACAAAAATTATGAGTTTGCCTTATTAACCGTTGGATTGGACTGAAAATTTTACCACATGATCTAAAAATGTTGTTAATTAGTTTGATTGGTTCAGATATTTAATTAATGATATGAGTGAAGAGAAAATGTTTCACGAAATAGCAAATTTATTTGAATTGAGTAAAATCTTGAATAATAATATTCTTAAATTTTATGTGTAGTTGTATTTTGAAGATTGGAAGATGAGTAAAACAATATATTATATATTAGAAAATTAAATTATATTGAATTTCGGTGTTAATATTATATGCTGTTGTTTTAAATCTGTAAATAAGAAATTTGTTAAAAACTAGTTGAGGAACACTTTGGCTAAGAAAGACTTGGGTACTTAAGTTGTCCATTGTGACGCACCTCTCTTTCCTGGAAGTCTACTCGCAAGTTTTTAACTTAAATCCTATTGAACAAATTATGTACTGTTAAATTATTGTATATATATCTTGTTGGAATGTAAATGTTTATGAATTCATGTTATTGTGGTAGATATGGAATTATGAATTATAATTGTGATGATTGGATTTAAATTTATGCATCTGAACATGATATAAGAATTATGGGGAGATTTCGTAATGGTTAATATGAGTTGAGGAATGTGAGCATGGTATGAGTCTCGTGGAGAGATTCTGTAATGCCATGGTATGTATGTATATGTTGATGTTGAGGGTCATGAAGTTGGAGGTTATCCTGATACTTTAAAAATCATCCAGTCTCAAGTAGAGAATGATAATTATGGTTGGTGAAGGGGCAGGAGGTCCTGGTCTATTGTGCCGGTTTTGGCATGTGAGGGGACTAACCTTGTGAGGGCAGGATGTTTTCTGGTGTATGTGCCGGTTTTGGACATAGTGAGGGACTAAGAATGACATCACAACTGCAAAACCTCCCGTTGTATCGCTCATGCAACATATCGTTGGGATAAGTGTCCTATGGGTATTGTGGTGTTTATTGGGTATTATGGGACTAAAAAGGTGTCCTAATAGATTGTGGTATGATGGTATGAGGTGTCTGCATATTATTGTATGAAATGTTTGTATCGAATAATTATGCATGTTTTATAAATGCTTTGTTGCATGTTAGTCACCCTACTTGTTTGTGTTTATGTTTGGGTATGTGCGATGATCGTATAATTCGTTATAGGGGAGCAGATGAAGGATGTCGTCTGACTCAGTGCTAAGGAAGGGAGAGATAAAGAACCCGATTATAATTAGGATTTTTTTTATCGAGCCTTAAAACATGTAAAATTCATTATTAATTATGAATTTTTTGTAGTGCGAGATTACGGGATGTTACCGTACATGTAATGTTAATATAAATAAATTATGAAGTATTCAGTGTGAGATTTTGGGGATGTTACAAATATGTAAAATTCAAAATTTCATCATAACGCGAAACGTACTTAAAATTTTTATCCAATTACATTATTCTCGAGTATAAATAACGAATGAAATACTCCAATTATATTGTCTTAACTTGTATAACAAAAATAACTTTAAATGATCCCAATGTTATTCTTTATCCTCTCTCTCGAGTCAATCACGTCTATGGAAGACTGTAACATTATCTTCTTACGTATAACACATTATACGATCATTGCTGATAATTTCACTTCACAAACACAAACATGTATAGGGTAAGCTACCGATAAAAGAATCATAACAACAAGATACATACATACTGATTATATCAACGATATCAACACACAACAAGATATATATCTTCTGATATACATCAACAACACACCTAATCTTTGTTACAACATAATATATAATGTTTTTCTTAAACAATTAATATTTATCTTTTTTATTTTCATTTATAATAAAAATATTTTTTATTATTGAATATTTTTCATATTTTTAGTATGTAATTAGAAATTGACATAAAGTTTTAAATCAATTTATATTTTAAAGAATCAATTAAATATTGTCTTAATAGTCATTTCAAAGTTTAAATAAGATATTTGTTATAACAGTCATACTTCTTAATATTATAAATTTTGTTTTAAATTTTTTAAATTCATTTTATACTATTTTCAATGAAAATGTAGAGTTTAAGACTTTTGTAAGATCGAAACAAAAAATAAAAACTAACAAATGAATTGTTTTAAAATATACCACCACTATAGGAAAAGGTCAAATTTCTGATGGAATATTACTGACGGACTTTAACCTGTTAGTAATGGCTTGGTGAATTTACTTACCGGAGGATATGTGATTATCGGTAAGTTGTTCGATTAATAAACTCCAAAACTTGAGTTTCCCTCCCCAACTTTCATTCTTCGAGCCAAAGAACCTTTTTTTTTTCTTCAAGCCA